AAGTAGTCGGATATGACATACAGTGGGGTGATGGTAGTTTAAAGTCCGAAGTCAACTGCCAGTTAATAGACTTTTTTTGCCTAGTGAGAATACGTTGCCCAGGGTGCACCACGTGGAGGTAAGTCTATCGCACACCCCATATCACAGTTATATCGAATGTTCAAAAATGCTGGATATGAAACAGTAACTGCTTTTCATCCGAGAAGTGCTTTTCGAATTTCCATGCCTTTCTTTTCTTATTTATGCTAAGAACATTTTTGAATAGGCGTCTATTGTTTGAAAACATTCCTCGTGGTGAATAATGATGTCCTGTCTTCTGCATACTTTTTTAAGAAAAACTTCATCCTTATAAAAAGCCTAGAACCACGAACAACTAATGATAAATTAATGAAGACAGTTCAAACTCACTGCATCCAAGTATGAAAACCCAATATTCACTAATCAACTAAACTTGCCTAAGACCAGTATGAGTTTTTGTATGTAGTTAAGCCAATAGCTAAGAAATAGAAAAAATTAGTTTGGAATATGGAAACTGTTAGATCAAACCATTGTTTTAATCCTTGTAATTAATTGCATATAGACTATTTCTAAGGGAAGGGGAGGGGGGTAGGAAGTCAACAACGAGATGCCACATGTGAGGTCATTGGTTTGTTTTTTCATTACTCGTAGACAGGACGTGGTAGATGGTGTCTGATACATTATCTAAGCTCCATTATGTAAGCGCTTACCATTGCAAAGATTATGGAAATAACAGTTTTCGTCATCGCTGAATTACTTTGATTTATTTTCTTGGTAAAGATGAGCCTTAACTTTTTGATAAGCTGGGAATAATCAAGTTTGTTTGCGTTATTTAAGTATTGGATTACTTTCTCAGCTCTTGGACAACCTAAGAGTACATAGTTTTTTAAACTTTTAGATAGTCGCCTTCGTATCAGTCTTCTTCATCATTCTTTCAATAACATCCTTCTGCCTAAAAACGGCCCCCAGCATGCGGATTCCAGAACTTGTGAATCGAACCGTTGAGGTTCCCATTGAAATTGTTACTCCAACCACTTACAGTAGCGAGAGCTATCACTTAGGGGAACTTGATACTAGAAACGATGGTGATAATATGCACACTGCAATGCACACGCGAAAACCAAGGAGTTCAATCTTAACTTCAACAGAGACAAAGCTGTCTCAAACCCACTGGATGATCGAACGAACTTCCATCAAGGCTCACAACATATTTGATTACATTGAAATCATCTGTAACATCTGGTTCACCTTTGAAATCAGTCTCCGTTTCCTAGTGGCACATTCAAAACTTGCTTTCTTTCGTTCTGCTGTCAACGTTATTGATCTACTAGCTTTACTCTCCTTCTACTTAGACCAGCTGCTTGCCAGAGTTCTCCAGTTCAAATCAGAGTATGAGGTGCTGGAATTCTTTTCCATTGTGCGTATTATGCGGCTATTTAAACTCACTCGGCATTATTCAGGCCTGAAGATTCTAATCCACACCTTTCGTGCGAGCTTAAAGGAGCTCCTCCTATTGGTCTTCTTCCTTGGAGTTTTTATTATCATTTTTGCGGCTCTGATGTATTACGCAGAACGCTTTCAACACAACCCTCACAATGATTTCAACTCTATTCCTGTAGGATTGTGGTGGGCTATTGTAACAATGACAACAGTAGGTTACGGAGACATGGTACCAAAAACGTATCTTGGTGAGCATCTTTTGCTTTCTTTTGTTGGAATATTTACTTACACTAAATTGAAATTAATGGTGATTCGAAATTTTGATCATGGTAAAACACTTAGTTACATGTGTGAAGTTAGCGGGTCCAGGAAGCAAAATGGAAATTTGAACTGAATTCAGCGTACCATATTTTGAACTTCCGAAACTCAAAGCAGCAATTATTGTCTTTTAAATCTCTAATCAGGATATTTTTAAGATTCCCCGGCTAGTCAGTACCTCTGGGTTAAATTTTTATTTGAGGAGTTCGCTAAACTCCTCCAGTTCTCAAAGTATACCGTGATATTTTTAATAAGTCGAATTAATATAGCACACCTAGATGAAAATTCATAATTAAATATGAAGAATAAGCATCTGAAAGTGAAAAATATTAGAACAATCTGAACGGTACTTAAATTGACTTGACATCAAAACAGTGACATACTCCATTAATTAAAAGTTATTTATAACCGCTAATTTATTTTGATAAGTTGCAAAGTTTCGATCCTTAGGTCTCTTAAATATGTTCAAACTCACTCAGTTCGAAAAATAAAAAAAATTTGGAAATTTTGGCATATCAGTGCAATATGAACTTTTAAATCCTAACGTTAACATTAAGGTGCCGGCATAAGAGTTCAAAGTAGTTCTGCCACGATTTAATAAGGTGCGTTATTATAAACCAAGGATAATTAATCCGTGTGACTTTAAACTCCTTCACTCCGAAAGAAACTATTAGTGTTCGGGACAAGTACTTAATGTTAAAAACAAAATTTTAAAACGCAATGGTATTAAGCGTAGAATGATTTAGTAGAGTTTCAGTGTTAATTACTTAAAGTATTGAAATTTAAGGAACTAAGTGACCGAATGATTACTTGACTAACTAACATAATTGCTTTTGCAGGGTAGCTACAGGAACCTCCTCAGTAAAATTTGAAGGATAGGATACGATTTGATAAAAGCTTTTTGGAGGTAGTGAAAAAAACATCAATTTGTTTGTTTTGCATAGCAGAGGCAAATGTAATCAGTGAGTTGACAGTGTTGAGTGTTCTATATTGCCACGGTTAAGGTGGAATTGATCAGTTCGGCGTTCAAAGCAATGGTTACAAATACTTACCAGAAAAAATGTATATAAAGATAGATTAGATCTGAGAAGAAAGTCGAGTAAAAATTTTTGCTTCTCTCATATCGAATTGCCAGCTGAAATATGTACGAGTTCCTTAACTGCGTATGAATTCAATATCTGAATTCGTTCGCGACTAATTTCATTTCAGTTTTTAGTGTCATTTCATTCAATTGCAGCAAATTACCTCAAATTATTTGCGTTTGCCTTAATTATGGTTTACTTTGTCGTGTATGAAAAACCATAAGTGTGCGAAAAATTTTAGTTACCTGAAATAACTTTAAAAGAATCCAAATTTGAAGAATACCGAATGGGTTAAATAACACTTCATGATAATCTATTTGTTTCATTGAATCCGTCTTCTCATTCCAATGGAGACTAAATTGCCAGCACGATACATTATTCAGAGAAAAAATCATAAAATTATCACTATTTGTCAACTAATTCTCCAATTTTAATTAATATAAAGAAGTCTTTCACTTCTATTTATGCATCTTATAATCAGCGAGAAAGCGTCACATAAACCAAAATAAAACTATTTTAGTTATAAAGAAAAAGACGTTTATCTGGATTTGTGCATCTATCAAATTAGTCAAAACATTTGTCTTTTTAAAACAAGAGCATTTCAGTACTCGTTTATAATAACTTTAAGTGTAATTATATATGTGAGTTTCCATTTATTTTGTGAAAGAATGTTTTCAGTATTCAATGTGTCACTTAATAGAACACGTGAGATCAAAGCAATCATTAAATCAAACTTCTTTTATCTGCCCTTTTAATTATCAGATATTAACCTTAACGGTGCTGAACCTTGACAAAGACAATTTCTTCAAAGTTAAAAAGAGGAATTGTAAATATAAATCGATCAAGAGGAGTTCAAGAGTTCACTCCATTTATTACTATTTTTATTTATAATGAAAATAAAAAACAATGAAGGCAAGTGACATTTTTATTTCCTATTTAAATTCGAATAAACCACTTGCAATTTTCAATAATCTACTTTATTAAACGAAGATCAATAGTGCTGTTGGGTACATTTCATTTATAACTAATATTTTGAATAGTATATTGCGGTAGAATTTTTTCTTGTGATCCGTTATTGTTATAAAAAGAAAAGGCAAGTAGAGTTCAGGAAATTTATTATTTTTCGGTATTCTGACGAGGTAAATCATGCCATTGTCTTCCGAGTGTCCTTGTAAAACCATTGGAATTTATAGTTAAACGAAATTCACGCCCCAGTTGGCATTTGAAGAAGGCTAAATCTAAGTAATCCAGACGAAAATCTGATGAATAATCTTAGGAAACTCATTAAATAGATGCAAACTTGGACCAGAGAATCTGACCACCAATTTTCCAAAACCAAGTTAAAGATGGTGAGATGGTGGTGTAACAAACGTTTACAGAAACAATGAAAGCGAATGATAATTAAAAATTTATTATGTTAATTTCACATTTGAGTAAATAAAAATGATGGAAAGGAGTAAAACAAAAAATGCAAATGGAAAACGCGGGTACTCAGGCTTTGTAGTACCTTTGGTGTAGCAAGAAAATAATAAAAGAAGATGAATTTAAGTTGAATGATTCACTTGTCCTAAATAGGGCTTTGCAGTTCTCTAAAACTTCAGCCCCATTTAGGTTTTGATCACATTATGGAAATCAAATCTAGAGTCAATAAATAGTCGATTCCGGGTAATAAACATTTTATATCTAACTCTATTTTCCAGGAATGATTGTAGGGGCTATGTGTGCCATTACTGGAGTGCTAACCATCTCCCTACCTGTGCCTGTCATTGTTTCCAATTTCTCCATGTTCTATTCTCACACTCAAGCTCGCTCCAAGTTGCCAAAGAAAAGACGTCGTGTTCTTCCAGTTGAAGCAGTTCGACCGAAATGCGGTGAGACAGTAACACCAAGAGGTGGGCCAAGTGGTGGTGGAATCCCTGCAAATGTGTTCTCAGGATTTGCGGCCAATTTTGGACCCTCCGTGAAGTTGGCAGAGCGTGGCCCTTTTCCCGAAACTCTTTATGGACGTTGTGGTCGGAGAGGAGATAGTGCGACTATATTTGAAAATGACCACACTGCTCCTTTGTGTCCAAGAAGGAGTGAGTTATGCTTCTTAATTAATAAATGTCTTTACCAATAGTGACATAAATAAAAAATGCGCTCAAAATCAGTAGATTTAATTATTTAGAGGTGAGATGTTAGGGTTGTTATAGGCTAAATTCTAGGATCATTTAATACAACTAGTAAAAAATTAACAAGTTTATAAGTTAAATAATACTGTAATAAGACCTAGTGGAGAAGAAGGAGGAGGAGAGAGAGGTTTGCAAGAGCATATGTTAGGAGAGGTCTTCGGTTGATCGAAACCGATTGAAGGAACTGGCAGCGGGCCATAACAAGTAGTGGTTAAAGAGAAGTTGGTAAGTTAGCAAGTTGGAGTAGACGGGAGATTATGGCTGACTATATGCAGATAATAAGAAATGTTGAATAAAGAATTATAAAATGAAAGTAATGTATGACGACTTTTCCAGTTTCCGAAGATGATCTGGTAGGTATTTCGATATATACATGCTAGTAGAGCCCTTACATTTGCAACACTTTGATTATTACCGAGCGTTCTCAAAGTGTTAAGTGATCAGTCAACCAGCACAACATTCAGTCAAAAAATATGCCATGAAATGTTAATGTTTAAATATTTCATAATTGTTTAAATACATACGCATCAATGTGAAATAATTGTGCATTTTTCTCATAAATAAACTACTACCCGTAGAAATGACCCTGACATTTTTAATTAAAACGACTTTTAAAAATTATAGCCACATTCTTTCATTTAAATGAAACATCAAAGTTTTAAGATTAAAATATAAGCAAGCCGAAACTTTTACAGCTTTTACAAGCAGAGATAGTGGAAAGCAAATTTTGGAACAAGATTACCCATTCAAGTTGGGTATTAAGGAATAATTAACAAATAAGCTTTGAAAATTTGTGTGTTGCTATTTAGGAAATGTTGACAAGTTTTTGATTTGCTTAATTACCCACAAACACACTCATTTCCCAGTTGTAATTGCGGGTCAAAATGACACTACGTGGTCACTATCGTCTAATAAATTACATTTTTATCTTCCTCAGTCAATGGGTGTGTCTCGGCTAATTTGAATTTTAAAAAAAGGTATTTCAAAATCATTGACATTTATCTAGTGGGAATTTCACTATCTTATCACAATACTAGCGAAAAAATTCTAATTCCTTTGGATTTCAAGCTAATCTCTATTTGATAGATTTAAGATTAGTTGTGATATTTCCAAACCAAATGTCAATTAATTCATTTTCTAAAAATATCCGAAGTCGCAGATTTCATTACTTCAAAAATTGCCGGAGTTTGTAAACTTTTAAATGGAAATACAATTTATTACACTGGTATTGGTATAATACACACTTTCCGTTTATTCGAATTTCTATTGGAGTGTTTGCAGGTGTTGAAAAAAGGAAGAAAACGGTTTAAGCAAAAATTACGAATTCGTCCATCCTTGACCGTAATAAAGCGATGCTGGTATAGTGTTGCTTTACGAGTTAGACTTACAATTAGCTGTCAAGTTGCTTATGAACGAGCAAAGAGCGTGGATCTGTATACCGTCTTATTGTGGCCCCGTTCGTCTGATCCTCGTGGTCGAGTTTATTCCCCTTTGCCCCACCCTTCTTTATATATATATATATATATATATATATATATATTCCGACTTTAAAAACATCTATTTGTTTTTTTTCTGATAGGCAGACTTCGGGGTTAAATTAGATCATCTTAGTGAAAATCTTTTCAAAGCATCAATAAATCGATATACTTAAAATTACGTTTATTACCTTGCCTTATTTCGGGAGCTGAAAAATGCTTGAAATTGCACTTGAGGTCGTGCACTAGATTAAACATAGATTGAAGAATTAATTCGTGTCTAAGACCTATAAAATAAGAGTTTTTAGTAAAAATGATACTGGGTGTTATCAAATTGGATGGTGGTTTTCAGTGCTCTAGTGTAGTAGAATCGCAGAATGACTGTTAAACAAGACAAAATAAAAGAGGATTTAATTTAGAACTTTCAAGTTCACAGATTTGATGTGTTATTCAGCTCACCACACCCTACAACGCTCCCCCTTTCTCTCCTCTCGTCAGTTACACAAATAGTTCATCCTTCGAGTTCGGAAAAGGTTATTGCCTCTTGTTAGTCTTTAAGTCCAACTTATTTTCAATATGATATCTCAGTTAGGTTATGGGAGTAGTTTCACCGGAATTGGCACTACTTGAAAAAATTGCAATATATTGATTCAAATGGTTCTTGAAAGAATCCAATCATTTCAAAATTTCCTTGTCACTTACAGATAATTCGGGTCCCCTTCCAGCCAGCAGACAGGACGGCGTAGCTGGAGTCAGTGAAGAACTACCAAACCCATCCAAACTTACACGACCATCAAGTAAGTGCTTGTTTTTATATTGATGCATTTAATTCCGAATTTCAAAATTCTCTGTCTGCTTTAAACGCAAATTATTGTTTGAAAATAATTATGATAATTAAATAATGTATTTTGCGTGCTCTCTTTGTAACTTTCTGTGTTGAATGGCAAAGGTTGGCATAATGTGATGTTTTACAATTAACTGGAATGTTCATGAATGATCAAAGGAATAGATATCTTATTAGGGCGTTGATTTTACATCCCACATGTGAATAATTTACGTTTTAGCAATGATAGAGAGCTTTGCAAATGCAAAACTAGCAATTGCATTGGCTATTTTGATAAATAACTTTTGCTATTATTACACTATATACAACAAACAGAAGAACAGCATTTGGACAATATTCCATGACTGAAAAGGTACAGAAATTGGGTAATTAAAAGTCGATGGAAACTTATAGAATAGGGGGAGTCAAAAGTAACGAAGATTTTTTTGTAATTTGAATGTACTTCATTCAGCCACAGGGTACCTCACCGTACCCAGCTCCAAAATTTTAATATCAATTCGCTCCCCTAGAATATTATGTAAGCCATCTCAATTATTATTTTTAATTCTAAGGCTCAAAAAGCCAGCACCTTCTTAAATGATCCTAGAAAATTTTCGCAAACTCATCTATGTTAATAAAAACCTACAAATACAGGCAAGTTATAACCGATCGATCGGCTATTTGGTTAGAAAATAGTTCCTTTGATTTCAATTTTACTGTATGTAGTAATACAGGTTACTCTGAGGGGTTTTATTTGTGGGAAGGTATCATTTATTGAGAGAAACCTTTAACCCAGTACTCAGCATTATTAACAAATTTATATATATATATATATATATATATATATATATAT